AGTTAAACTGTATATTTATTTTGGAATTTAAATTACAGCCTCCCCCTCTTCCCGAAATTGATACAGGTTAATGACTTCGCCTTTGATAATCAATTTCATGATAAATACTGATTCTACTGACGATGATAACAGAATAAGATTTGAAAGCTTTATTTTCATAAAAATGTATAGAAATGTATACTTGCAAGCAAAAAAAAAAAATTAGAAAAACAAATAAAAAAAAAAAAAAAAAAATGGAAACGGTTTACATATTTTGAGTCAAGAAATAATTTTTACAGTTTACTTCTAAGGTACATTTAAGATAATCCTCTCTTAGTCTATTGAAATTTTGTCATTTCAACTGATTCATTCTAATATTGTTATTGTTTATTGAAATGGCACAAATGTACAGAAAATAATTTAGAAATACTAGATTCTAGGTGCATGCTATCATAGTTTTTTTTTTACTATCTGCAGCTTGAATTTAATGTACCGTTTTACAAGTACGCAGAGAGAGAGAGAGAGAGAGAGAGAGAGAGAGAGAGAGAGAGAGAGAGAGAGAGAGAGAGAGAGAGAGAGAGAGAGAGAGAGAGAGAGAATGACTACAAATATATTCGTAAAAAATCCTCTGCTTTTGTGTTCTCTGTCTTTAAAATTAATAAATTGCAGTTAGTCTTTATTTTGTTTTTCATAAGAATATATTTACATTCCGTATAATTTTCCTTATGAAATTCATTAGAAATCCACGACATTCAAATTTCTATAACACACGCGAAACCTTGTCATCGCGCGTTAGAATACACAGTAGGAACTACATGCATTTTCTATAATCTAGGAACAACAAAATGTACAATGTTTTGACTCAATTTTATTAAAAACTATAACCCTGTTAAATTAACGTAAAAATACTACACAAATGCGTTTCAGATTAATTTGTCACTTTTTTCTCCGCAATGTTTGTTTGCGTTATTTAACTTTGCAACGTCATCTGACGTCACAAGCGGCTCTTACGTCTATTAACCACGTCAGTTTTGAAGGGCGCTAATATCACATTAAAGATTAACGAAATAAGCAATTATGAAGAAGGAAAATTAAAGGATGTAAATATAAGCATTGAATTCATCTTTTTGGCTGTCTTCGGTCCTATAATACACCTGGCCGTGCCGATAAATTGAATACCGCGCGTGAATTCAATGCTTAATTAAGTTATTCGGGACTTAAAAAAAACATGTATATTTTCATCTTATACGTGCTTTACATGCAGTAAGATTATTTAATACTAGTTAAGATTTACTCTTTTTAGTTTTAGACGAAATTATGAAAAATAAAAATATCTACTGTATCAATCTTTGTCTGAGAAAAAAGAAATTTTTTTTAGGAATAATTCATTTCTTGAAATTAACTGTGTAAATATCACCGTCTTACATCAATACTAGTATAATAGAAGTAATAAATTAAATATTTTCCTCATTTAAAAAATCTCTTATTGTCCATGAGATCCCCCTCCCCTTCCCCGGTTTCCGTCTTATATTTGCTGGGGACTTCACTTGTTCCAGATAACTAGAAAAATAATTACCTTTACCCCTAACTCTGTACATTAACTGTTCATTAATCTGCAAATTCAGGTGGTTTTGGACCCTCTCTCCGACCCCCCTAGTTTAACTCATGTGGACGAGAAGTTAATAAGAAATGGACTATTCAAACATGATAAAAAAACCTATATTTGCTTTCAAGATGAATTAATTTTTTTCTTAATGTAGAAAATTACCAGATGGAGGATTACTGTGCTTTTGAAACCATTTTTTTTCCTAAAAATGTATTTTTGGGATTTTTTTTTCAAAATAGACAATTTTATTGGGTCTTTTAGTGAATGAAACAGAATATATACTTAGAGGTACTTTGAGTAATGGCCTTACTAAATGATACACTCCGCCTCCCATATGAATATAATGGCAGTGTCCTTGTTTTGCTTTGGGAAACCCAAAATATGTGTCGGATCAAAACGTTAAATGAGGCACAATGGAAATATGTAATAAAGATTCTGTGAAAATCTCATCATTTTCATCCAAAAGTATAAGAGAAGATGCGGACAAGAGATTGGTACCCCAAAGCCTAACAGACGGACGGACGGACATACCGATTACTATATACCCTCCCGCTTTTTAAGCGGGGGAATAAATATAGAATATGTATAGTCGATTTACAATACCTACAATACAACAATCAAATGGGTACGAATGCATTGTCGACATGGACTACGTAAGAAATCTCTAAAAAGAACATCTTTTTTTTCCTCATGATCAGAAGAAATGTATAAAAATATTAAGAATGTTATTACTTCAATCAACTACGTCCCCAAGTGGTTGTAGCAGCCCCCCCCCCTTCATAGTATGTATAATTGAATAATATGTGTTGTTTGAACTCGCTAGGTTGTTTTAAAATCAATAAAATTGCTTAATTTCAACTTTACGCCCGAACTTACGCCTACCCATGAGTAGTAAAATTTTGGCCTAAATTTAGTTAGGCGTAACGATAAGGGGTCCGTTTCACTAAAAGGCGTAAGATACGACCAAACTTAAGTTAGGCCTCGGGGCGTACGCCAAAATTTAGTCCGGCGTAAATTGCGTTTCACTAAGAGGCGTACGCCTGACCGTAAATACTAGTATCGGACTAAGTTAAGGCCAGACTTACGTCCTTGACAACGAGCTTATGCACATGCGCATACATATCATAAAGAGAGAGAGAGAGGGGGGAGAAAGAGAAGAGAGAGAGAAATTTGTTTAATATTCATTGAAAAGATGTATGGAAAAGATCACATATTCTTCTTTATTATTTATTGCAATATTTGTTTTGATGTCTATAATAAAAACTTAAAAGCGTTGAAACATATTTAGATTGAAAATATATCGTAGATTGAATTATGTTGAAAGGAATACATTCGCAACTGTGTTTTGTAGTGAAATAAAGAATTTAAGAAACCTCTCTCTCTCTCTCTCTCTCTCTCTCTCTCTCTCTCTCTCTCTCTCTCTCTCTCTCTCTGATCTGTCATGTTGATTTCCATGGCGTTTTCTTAAATAATGTGAATTTCGTAACAAACAAACATGTTAATATCGATATTGTCGTCTGCAATATTCGCTATTGACTCTGCACAATCAAAATGTCTTCGGAGAGTAAAAAACGTAAGCCAAACTGGACTGATGATGAAATGAAAATTCTCACATCTTGTGTAATTGAAAACAAAGATGTATTATTTGCAAAACTGTCGTCATCAGTGACAAACGAGAAAAAGAAAGCTGTATGGGAAGACATCACAAAGCAGTAAGCATTTAGGTTTTTAAAATAACGATCAACAAAAATTTAATAACATCTCCGATTTGATTACATACAATTTGTTCATGTCTACATGTTACATATAATGTATATTTATGGTCAAAAACCTAACTAAATTGGCAAAAATAGGAATGTTATTTAGGTTTTGTGTATTTTTATATATTTTTTTAATTTCTAACAAAAAATATACAAATGAAAGTAGACTGGGGATTCAAAAATATATTTAGTGTTAAATTTTTACTGCAGAATAAATTCTTCTTCTGCCTTGTGCAAGAGGGAAACAGAAGAAATAAAAAAGAAATGGAAAGATGCAAGATCCATTGTAAAGAAGAAAGAAGCCAGTAGAAAATACCAGACGAAGAGAACGGGCGGAGGGCCTCCCCCGGAATCTGTATTCAAGGCATGGGAACTTGACGTATGTGTTTTCTAATATTTACCTAAAATTGATATAATTATATGTACTATGTATTAAAAAAAACGTTTCGATCGTTGCTAAGATGAGTTTCCGATACTGACATAATTATTTTTTCATGAATGTTTCGCACCGTTTATTATTTTAATAAATTGAAAAAGGCAACAACTATTTTTTTTGTTTTTATTGCTAGATTTTGTCAATTATACCGGATGAACTTATCTCTGGGATTGAGGGAGGGGTTGATACTGCCTTTGCCAGTAATTCTGAAACAAGTATGTATAAATACATGGTACATGCATCTGCATTGTAAACATACGTTCACTACATGTATTTTAATAACCTCATAATGTTGCCTTCCCGACTTTTGCTTCATATACTATTTGATTTTCCATGCTTTGTATATTTAATATTATTGTAGTAGTTATAGTATAAAAAATTGAAATATAAGATATCTAAATACTAGTATTTCTTTGTAACAGATAGCTTAGCCTCATCATGCACTGCAGTCACATCGGAAATTTCCGCTGGAATTCCATCCTTGATTGGTTTGTATAATTATACATATTATATAATAAACTTATAAAATTTTAAATCATAAAAATTATTATAATAGATTGTCAAAAATTTGATATGCATCTTCTTCACACGCGGAACACATAAGTGTGTAGATTTGAAATATTGATTTTTTTTTCAAATTAAAAAATGTATGTTTGTACATGTATATAGTAGAAGAAGTTGACGTTCCGGAAGAAGCTCCAAGTGTACATGTGTCCGGGCCTTCCACCGACACATTCTTTGCTTCAACTCTGTATGGATCTAAACGTAAAGGTAAAAAAGAAACAATGCCAACGCTATGAAAATGAATTAAAAATGTATTAAACATTCCTTCAGTTTTAATTTTTCGCGTAATTTTACGTTTGTTAAGAAAAAAACCCTAGTGAACTGTTTCAACTTCATTCGTGCACTTTTAACTATTCATATTACACATATGATTTTATTTGATTTTCTTCTGTTTCAATTGACATTGTTCTGATTATAAAACTTTTCATTAAAAATGAAGACACGGCCAGCGACCCCGACGCTGAGTTTATGCTGAATTTGATAGAAGTGAAGAAGAGAAGAGCCATCGCAGAGGAGAGAAAAGCAGATGCCCTAGAGAGAATAGCGGCGGCATTTGAAAACAAATTTGGCATTTAATAAATTTGAACACAAAATGATAAAGTAGTCATGTTCTTTATTACAATGTAAGTGTGTGATTTAATGAATAGATGAATTGTTAAAATAAATTTGCAACTTGAATGCGCACATCCTGTGCTCTCCTTGGTGCGTTTGCGTTAAACACGGCATTGTCATTGATGTTCTGTACAACCCCACCCTCAAGTAAGGGGACTTTCTCTGAAACCGCTAAATTATGAAGCCGGATACAGCATTGAATAATTTGAGAACATCTACTTGGTGAAAAGGGGAGTACTCCTCCAGTTCGATGTAAACACCTGCAAAGATTTACTTGAATGTAAATACTGTAGAATCATTAGAATTCGTGGTGGCTCAATTTTCGTGATATTCGTTGGTAGCCCCCCCCCCTCCCCCCAAACCACCACGAATTTACATCTTCATAGGAAATTTAGAAAGAGATATCTTTGTTACTGCATGAATATGAAAACCGACCCATACACGAAATTACATCTCCACAAATAACCAAAAAAAATCCACAATCTAAAAAACTTGGCCCACAGAATTTTAAATGAATTCACAATAAAATTGTAACAATGTTTATTTATGGTTGCAATAGATATACGTTTTTTTTTCTCAAATAAAAAAAAATTTAAGGTCGCGTTTATCGTAATGAACGTTTGAAATAAAATATTTGCTTGCAAATATGACATATGTAATAAAGATATTTAACGAAAAATTGCGTTTAAATTACCTAAATCTGGATTTTAATACCCCAAACGATTTTTCTATGACAACACGAGTCTTTCCATGGGCATCGTTGTAATTCACTTCGTGTTGATTTGCTGGGGATAAGAATGGCGTTAAGAGCCATTCCTTGAGAGGGTAGCCAGAATCCCCAAGTAACCACCCACCCCCTTCGAGATGTTCCATAACACCTGACAATCCCGAGTTGCTCAAAACGAAAGAGTCGTGAGTTGCCCCGGGAAAACAGGTATTGATTTGAAGAAATCTGAAATAATATCAACCAATTTTTCATCCTTTATGCATATGTAAGCAAACAATTAGCATTCTTATGTTTGTTATATTTGTTTGGTTATATTTGGTGCAATAATTTATTTTAAAATTGACAACATTTACATTTTCAAAGGTTGTTATTTCATAAAACCCTTTTGACGATATATTAAATATTTTAATTTTCTCCTGTTGAAGTTTTGGCGTATACAAGGGTATTTCTATTACAAAAAAAATGATGTGCTCGTATTTATGTTTTAATCAATACCGTTTATACCTCATATTGGAATCTGTTACGGCCTGAATATTTAAGGCATGAAAGTTTTTTCTGCATACAAAAGCAGGCTCCTGTGGTCCACTCATGCCCTTAATTGGTATTAGAGTACCATCGATTGCACCAACGCAATTGGGAAATTTGGCAATGTCATAGAACTCAGATTTTACATGGCGTAATTCATTGGCAGTAACTGGAAACTTAATGTTGTCCACTGTTGTATTTATTGCACTGCACACTGTATAACAATATGATGAATCTGCGTTAAAATCCTTAATGATATATATAAAGAATATTTGGAAAGGAAATGTACAACTGATTAAATGTATTACAGGCATGTGGAAACATGAAGGATAGTGTATACAAACATGTACATATCATTATTATAATTATTATTATCAGTATACCCCATAGTACTTGCAATTGTCACTTTTCTGAAACTGCTAAACCTAATTTCGTGAAACTTTGCAGTTATTGAGAACACATTGTGTAGGCGCATATTACAAAGAAATTCCGCTTCAATTTTTTTCTGGGAATTTCGGTACTTTTTATTACCGGTATATTCATTTTATCTGTACAAAATAAAGACTCAATAATTGCACGGAGTTTTAATACATGTAACGATTACTTTGGAATTATGCCTCATTTTGAATTACTTGTGTGTATTTAATGTGTAACATGCCATTTATTTTGCATGACATTGTCAAATATTAAGAGAGGAGGGGCGTGGGATGTGTTAACTTGCTCACATTTTCTTTTATTATCATTTGTGAATGCAGGGGACAAAATGTTAAAACATTCAAGGGGTCAAATCTCCACATCAACGATGCTACGTGCCTGCAATATTTTTTAATAAAAATAGAGTTAATATCATTTTAAATTTAAAATAATGAAGTATAACAACCTGTGTGTACTACTCGGGATACGGATGATCTGGAAACGCCATGAAGGTCGCCTACTTCCGAAAAGAAGTCTGCCTTTGACAGATATCTTAAGGTGATAATTACCTGTAAGATGTTTATGTGTATCTTTATATATACATGTATAAATAAGTATGCAAATGTAGTTTAATTATATTAATAGGTACATTGTAAAACTCATTATATTTGTCATATCATGTGATTCCATGCGTCAGTATTTGTTTATTTATGTGTGGATATTTAAGAAGTATACAATGCTACAGTAAGCATTCACATAATTTATACATGTACCTGAACAGTCCAGTCCAATACGAAAATTCGTAATATTACGAAAAAACGTAAGATTACGAGAAAGCATAATATTACAAGTTATCGTAATATAAAACTTATATTACAATTTTTCGTAATGTAGTTAAATTACGAATACGTGTAATATAGCAGATGTAAGAGACTATATTACGAGTTTTCGTAATCCAAGACAAATTCAAGCATTGCAAGAAATTGAGTGGCGGGTATCAAAGTATGACGTTTACTACGAGATGTCACGGGCGATAACTTGTACGACTCTTACTGAGATTTGAATTCTGCATGTATTTCAATAAGAATTGCACGAACAGTTGAATTATGAGACGAGGGTGTGATTTTTAGGGTAGACTTCGGAAGAAAAGTAGGGAGTTCGGGTGATATAGACCAATGCGACATGCTTAAGCGAATATTGAAATTTACTGGAAAATTGGTCTTTTCCTTGGGAAAATTCCTATAAAAGAATAAAAAAAACGAAATTGTCCACTCACACATCGCTGGCGGTACTTTCTTCTTGAATTTCCATGCTTTCTGATAGGCGTAACTGACCAAACTGACCGCGTGCTATCAGTAAATGTGAAATCTGATATATTACTGACGTCATACTTTGCTACCCACCACTCAATTTCTTGCAATACTTGAATTTGTCTTGGATTACGAAAACTCGTAATATAGTCTCTTACAATCTGCTATATTACGTGTATTCGTAATTTAATTACATTACGAAAAATTGTAATATAAGTTTTAGATTACGATAACTTGTAATATTACGAATTTTCGTATTGGACTGGACTGCTGAATGTGGGTGGGAATGGCATGACTTTTGTATGTAGGTCGCCTCACAATAGGGTCAACATCATTTATCAGTTTTCGAATGACTCTTCCCGGGAACCTATACCTACTTACGAGATCTATATCATCAAGATACTCGAGAGGGTTGGTTCGGTCCCGAAAAACGCGTTCTCGCCGAGGTGTTTCCCTTCTTCTTCTGTGAAGCAGCCAGAAAGTCGCCATTATCCAATGTTTACGTCTATAGTTACGCCTGCCTTAGACCAGCCGTAGATTTTTGTCTTAACTTAAGGCGGGCGCAAAGTTACGCCCTTTAGTGAAACGGATCTTAGTCCAAATGTTAGACGTAAGTCCGGACTTACGCCGGGCGTAGAGTTAAGACAGGCGTACGCATTTTAGTGAAACGGGCTCAAGCTCTTTAACGAAACGCAACTCTTCGTGCTAGTCCCGACTTTACACCGGCGTAGCGCTACGACTGGGCGTACGACCTTTGATGAAACGGGCCCCATTCCGGGTCACGTCAGGGTGTTTCTTTAATAATTTGCAAATCTGTTCAATTTTTATTTTATGCAATATATGTATTGAAAGAACAAATAGTGAGTCATCCAAACACCTTTTCGTTTTCAAAGTAGTTGCACGGGAACGATATTTACAGGGGTATTTCAGCAAGGCCTAGCTTCCCCAGTTACGAATCATTTTCTCCATTTCCGGGTCATGTGACTTTACGGTCGTGTAATATTCATGGAACGTTTCGGAACACGATTTTTATGATGTTGAAAAATAAAACAATTCATGCAGCTTGGAAAAAAGTAAAACAACCACAGAAATATGTTTAAAATATTTTCAAAACAATTACAACAAAACATGCTGAATTAAAAAATGTATAAGAATTAAAAATAATAAAATTAAATTCATTTAAATTAAATGCATTTGAAGGGTTAATTAGATTTTAATTTTAAAAAAAATATTTTCCAGTTAGATTACTTTTGAAAATCAGGGTAAATACATGGTTGTCAATTGGTTTTGTACATAGAATTTTGACATGTTCATGCCACGAGATTTCGTGACCTCCAATTAAAGAAACTACTACAGTTTGATTTAAATTATTCTTTTATTGGAGCAGCGCGATCATTATGATTGATTTTTGAGTTAAAACTAAATGCATTTGCCATACTTTCGAACTATCATTATTTATCAAGAACTTTTATATCAGCCTTTCTGCAGCGAACAAAAACGAAAATAGCCCGTCACCGCAGCAGAAACATTCAAGTCTTTAATGTGTGCGTTTCAGAATTTCGATTGTCGGATGCTCTCTTAAAGTTTATATTCAAATTTTTTTAATTAATTACATACAGAATGACCAGTTCTTCATGACCAGAGTATTTATTAAGTTTTTTGCGCTTAAATTTTAGCTCTAGGCATAAAATACACGCGAGTGACCCGGAATTGGAGACGACCCGGAACTGGCGACTCCACTGTGGTCATCTTGAAATGGTCAAGAAAATCCCATTTTTTGATTTTTCGACACCAGAGTATAAGCTAGGATCTGTGATTATGGAAATTGCAAATCAGAGGCTTTTTAAATCCCCACGTTTTACTGAAGAAAATGCAGCTAAAACAGTCCGTCTTTTTTCCTAAATTCAATATACCAATAAAGGAATTAATTTTTATAAGTAATATTCTTAGTCACAAAAGGGGCCTGTCTTGTAGTCCACCATACTACATCTTGTATTTCATACAAGTATACATCGACTATTGGTTCAAAACTTTTTATTCGCAAAAAAAAAACTTTACATGGCCTGGATATCGAGTACATCTGAAACGTAATCCTCCATCGTGTTCATGATCTTCTTCACCCTATACAGTAACTATAGTCCTGCTGGACACGTTGTTACAGGTGATGTATATAGTTAATTATAAGGACCTTAAAACACTTATTTTAAAAGGTTCTAAATATAGGGAATCCCTATCCTTCAACTGGCGTCGGAATTTCATAAATATTATAGATTCTGTTGAAGATTACGCCAGGCGATGGGCCAAATATGAAAAATAAAACATTGACACTTTGTCAGAATGGATTAAATGTGTCAGATCCATGTCAAAATCGAGTATGAAAATATTCAGGGGCAATATGAAAACCATCTACCTTTCTGTATTCAAAAATCCAAAAGTGATAAAAGAATTAAGTAGCTAGATTACATGATCAGTACGTATTGGTCCCTGTTGACAAAGCAAGTAATAACATTTTCTTTGTTTGTAAGGCTCATTATATAAATTGTATTTTAGAAGAACTTGGATTTAATTGTACACGTGGTTATCCAGCTTATACTCATAGTTTACTTTCTTTCTCAGGAGGAAATTCTACAAAATCGTATGTCAGTTTTGAATTTGAACTACCATTTAAATATTGGATTCCGAAACTTCATATGAAACCTTACAAACAAAAGTACATAGCGGTTTCCAGTGAATGGTCAACCAATCCTCTTTTTTACTCCTCACTAGGATATTGACAGTAAAGAAGGAGAAACTTCAAGAGTACTGTGCAACAGAATATTCAAAAAGAGGTGAAAATCAGATTTAGATACTTAAAAAATTCAAGGAACTTTTAAACAATTTGAAATCACAAGATATTTCCAAAATCAACAGCTTAAAAACTTTTTGCCATTTGATATCATTGACAACTGCTTTTTCAATGAAAATTAAACTCGTAAATTTACTTAACTTTTGATTGGTCATTTGCAAAATTATTTTGTTAAAAAGCATTCTGATTGTACACACAAGTACTCCGAAGTTGACATCAAAATAATGCTTGAGTTTCTGATTGACAATATCTATGTTGTTTTTGGAGACCAGGTCTTCCAACTATCTATTGGAATTGCCATGGGTACCAAATGCGCCCCCTTATTAGAAGACCTATTTTTGTATTCATTTGAAGAAAATTTGTGCAAAATATTATCCGTGAAAAGAAAAATAAAACACTTGCTGTGGCCTTCAACTTGACATTTTGATATATCGACGACGTTTGGTGTGCAAACAACAATCATATAATTTTCTTTCTTTTGTCCATACTGTATATCCTGGTGAGTTTGAGATAAAAGATACCACAGAGTCTGAAACATCTGTTTCATATTTTGATATATAACTTGTGCCTTGTTCACACGACGAGTTAAATTCGCAGTAAATCAATGCGAAGTAAACTAATGCGAATCAAAATAATCGTTCACACGACATAGCGTAAATAGAGGTTTGGCTTAAATAGTAAGATTGACTAAAATCCGTACAAATGTACATTTTTAACGGGTTTTTTTCTATGGCTAAAATTTGCTGGTGTTGAATAATTATCTTATATTTCTATATTTAAAGCATTATCAAAGCGGTTCAAAATAAGATTTATCGCACTTAAGGACAGATGATACAAACAAATTTATGTCAAAAAAAATAAAAATAACAACTTGGGTCATGTTTAAATGAGTAAAATGAATAATTGCACAGCGTAGTTTTTAATAATTTATTCAAAATTTCACTAAAATTGGATTTGAAGTGAAAAATATTTGTATAGATTTGTAAGGGAGGTTTCAGAAGGACAGACTTTTGAACATCACAGATAGAAGGTTTAAAAATTCATTATATTCTAGAAATTTGTTATTTGCATCATTTACAATGAAATTAGGCCAAAAAATATATACCAAACCAGACATCCATTTTTTGTTTGTATCATCTGTCTTTAATTTAATTTTATTCAAATTGCATTATTTTTCAAAGTGCATTCTAATTTGTAACAATGGTAGCATGCAGTGTGATATTGTAAAGAATATAAGCTTTAAACATGTACTGGTATAGATTGCATTTGAACGGAAATTTTAAAAGATAAAAACGGTCTACACGGGGAGGGATAAAATACAAAAATAGAAAATAAAACGTCTTTTGATCACAGTCGATCTCATTGCTATCGTGAAACCCCTCAAAATTAAGACGGAAAAAAGTTAAAGCCGGAAGAAAAATGGACCAATAGAATGGAATAAAAAGGATGTCGGGAAAATAAACACCAATAAAAGAAATGTTTTATTAAGTATAATTATCAAAATATTGTATATATTAAAGAATGTGATATATAGCAAATGAAACAAGATATGATACTGCTCAATTATACATGTTATAGCCGGTATCATACATTTATCTATATGTGGTTTTTTTCAGCTTAAACTAGTGGCAGCTGTATTACTGAGATAGCCTTGATACATGTAAAACGACAATGGTAAGTAAATACTTCATAAATAAAATATATACAGCCTTTGGATCTGATAAAATATTGTTTACACCAGTAAATTGTAACTTTTTTAATTTAAAGAAATGTGCATCTTGCACGCAAAATTATGTGATACTTCAGATAAAATATAAAACCCGGTACTTACTATATATTTGCCCCTAAGTAATGTGATGCAGTATACATTTGTATTATTTAGAACACAATATATAAAAGTTTACCGATTAAAAATGTATACAAAATTACTATAAGTATAAGAAAAATTGAGTTAACTGATTAAAAATTTAATGAAGACAATATTACTTAGTATAACAAAAATATGTAAAAGTTCTCTAATTAAAATGTATACAATATTATAAGAAAAATATGCAAAAAAAAATTCTAATTAAAAAAAAATGCATACAATATTACTATAACAAAACTATAGTTTATGTAAAATTTGACCTATTAAAATATATTTGTTACATTTAAAAGTTTTAAAATTCAGAGAATTGATAACTACATGTAACTATAAGTATAACAAAACCTATCCTCTTCGATCCCAGTGGAGCGTAAGGTCAACACACGACTTCGCCTCTCAGCTCTCTTCTTGGTAATGTTCTTTGCCTCTCCCCAAGTCAGGTTAACGTTTCGGTCTGAGTCTGACTAAAGCCAGGCCCTACTATTTCACTTCGTTCGAAGTGAAAAAGTATAGAAGCTGACTTTAAATAGTCAGACTGGTGAAAGGTCTCTCAGTCCAACCCCCCACTGCGGAGATTAATAGTTACGGATAGTGAAAAAATAATTTGGTTTGAAACTGAAATCTGCAACAAATAAAAAAAAATAATAAAGGAGAGAGAGAGAGAGAGAGAGAGAGAGAGAGAGAGAGAGAGAGAGAGAGAGAGAGAGAGAGAGAGAGAGAGAGGGTCAAGTCCCACTTTTTCAAGTTTTCTGTGAATGTTTTGAAAAGATCAATTTTAGGCTTTCCAAAGCCATTAAAAGACATAATTTCGTTTGAACTTTGAACCATTTTTTTTCTAGAATGTTACTCTGTAAAAGTCTAATGAATATTAATATTAAAATAGTGTATATCATGCATAAATTTGGTAAAATATTATGCAATAATTATCATACATAAAGTTTACCCCCGCGCCATTAATTTAGCTGCAGAACTGTAGCTCTCCGAAAAAAATATATTCGGTCTGTCAATATATATTTTTTCGAAGAGGTACAGTTCTGCAGCTACCTTTAATTATCACACAATAATATGTATCTAATATATTTATTATTACTATATCTCAAGCGAGAGCATACTAGTATTTTTTGTTATAAAAGTCAATTTTTGTAACTACACCCCAATATGCTTACATGTCATGTCACGTACAGCATGTACTAATGATAGACTTATAGTCCATTATACCTAGTATGGCGTTTTCTTTTCATATGAACTATTGGAAATGACTAAAAAATGGGAAATGAGGGGAAATAAAATCACTGAAACAGTCAATATCGATATCAGAATAATTACCTTCTTTGTTTTGAAGGTTGAAAGGCAAAGTATCAGTGTTTTATCAGAGGGGGTGTACGATGGATTGTGCAAGAAGGTGGGATCACCGTTTCAGATCGAAATAAGAAGATCTGCGATGGACCTGGGGGAGATGATTTCAAATAATGATAATTCCTCTCAATGCTTGTATGATTTCGTAGTTTTTATGCTTATGGGAAGCCGAAGAGAGGGATTTGTATTCTCTGATTCCGATTTTGACGTCATGTTTTATTCACCACACTTTCTTATACTAACAGAGGAGGAACAGAAAGGTTTGGTTCAAAAAGCTATCGAAAACGGATTTCAAGTTCTTAAATTCGTGAATAGTCGCCCTGGATTTTGCTTCCTTCAGATTCCTTCAATAGATGAAACTTTGTTGCCATCGATTTTTCAGAGTTTATGGAAATTAATAAATTCTCAAGAAAGTACCTGGAGTTTTTATAGAGAGATGATAAATAATCCTTTATTGCCATTATTGTTACCAGAAAACCTCAGAGTACACGATGGAAATGTATTTCTTTTGAGTTCAGGTCTACGTCAATTGGGGGAAAATATTCATCTCCATCGCACTTCTTTGGGATTCGAGTCATCTGCTCATGGGCCATGCATGAAGATTAAACAATATGATTGCACTGACGTTGATATAACTTCCTGTTTAAAATGCAATATTTGGCCTTCATCGACATCTTGGACATCGAGAGGCAAGAACTGGCCACCAGCGAGTGTTGTTCATGAAATCTTAACAAGTGGCTGCCATCTTGTTCCAATTGGGAGTAAACAGTCGATTGAGGAAGATAAGGAATGGAGAATATCCTTTTCATTGGCCGAGTATAAGTTAGTGAAAACTATGAACCATTGTCAGTTTTTAACATATGGGCTGATGAAATTGTTCTTGAAAGAGGTGATCAACAAAGACGACAACAACCCTGTACTCTGTTCTTATTTCTTGAAAACAGCCATGTTTTGGGAAATTCAAGAAGAAAAATACGTTTGGTCGGTGCAAACATTGATGCATTGCTTTTGGTCTTGCTTTAAACGATTAGTGCATTGGGTGCACGAGGAATATTGTCCCAATTTTTTCATACCAGAGAACAATATGTTTTGTGGAAAATTATCCGTAGTAGCAAAAAATTCATTACTTTTTAGGCTCAATTCTTTGTATGAGGAAGGTTACAGTTGCATTTTCAATAGTTCCACTGTGAGTTCCTTCTTGAATGATAGGGATTTATTTAATCCTAATCGTGCACTAAATTTCAAAGCTGAGGTAATTGAGGTTCAGAATGATATTCATTTTTTCTCAGAAATTGATCAATTTCATCTTGTAAGGTTTGGATTAGTTGGCTTAAAAGAAGTTAACTTGCATGGAACTCTACGAAACATAGCAGGTTTGTCACGTAGAAATAAGTTAGTTTGCAGTGATCTTGTTATTACTACAAAATATCTTTCGCAATCTCTTTTCTTCCTTATCTACAGGAAACTGTTCAAATATCCAAAAGGAAACCGAGTGTATTTAATGCACGGACGATTGCTTCAGATTTATCATGACGTAATGAGATTTTCGGATATAACAACCTTGTTATACTACGCCATCTTGATATTTGAGAGAAACGACATCAGAACAACACTCTCCATCATTGCCAGGGCCAAATCCAAGTTAGCACAGCCCTATATTCTTTACAATTATTCCGGCAACATATCAAAATATCGAGAAACTTTTGCAGGAAAGTCTCTTTTTGTTAAATTTATGAAGGCTTCACTGACAGATGTTTTTGTACCCCACAAGATTTTATTCGAGGGTATGTTCTGGGACTTACTCAATGACAAGGAAACGGAAAAATATGGGAACGATGTAGAGTTCTTAAAAGTTCCACCTCTAATCATCTTGAAAACACTGGAACTGTTCTGCTATAACCGTATGAATGATTCAAAACGATTCGACTCCTTACACAGTTTATATTTCTTGGTGCATTTCGACAAGGGAGAACACATACCTAGTGGATGTACCGATATATCGTGGTATATGTTAGGTGTATGTCAGAGAATCTGTGGTGATGTCCAAGGTGCCATTAGATCTTTTCAAAGAGTTTTAAGTTTGACGAACCCCAAAGGATTTCTTGCATTGTCCATCTCTGATCAATTAAGATATTGTACATGTACCTAATTTATTTCTGTCATTTCATCGTTTCAAAATAGTTGATTATAATATGATCTATGCATTATCAATACCCGAAACCAAATATGCTAAAACTTATTTTACGAATATTTTAGAAAAAGGCAAGGACCCAAGTTTTTTTTATTGATAGTTTAGTTGAAATTAAAAAAAAAAACATGTGCTTAGACTCATAGCTTAGACTCATATTCTGAGAGCAAATATAGTAAAATCACATTTATTCGTGGATGCAAATTTTCGAGATTTAAGAAAAAATATTGATATGTGGGTATTAGTATTTACTTTTAGTATTAATTTTATATCATTGGTCTCTCCATACCTCGAAGACAACGAAAGTTTAACCTCCAAAAGAAATTAGTGATTAGCTGGTTCCAACCACTACTTGAAAATAAGTGTGACGGTGTTTATGAATGCCTATTAACAAAATCTTTGGGGTCTCACTTTGTATGTCATAATTATGTTATATTATAATTATTGATAGTTATAATTATGATGTCATTATTGTGTAATTATTTGATATTCAGAAGATTTGATGAAGGTTAATGCGGTTTGTTTGTTCAACACGATTCAACAAAAATATAATCCTACATGTACCTCATACAAAGGGCAAAGCTTAATAAAAAAACAAAAACAAAAACAACATTGTTTTGTAGATTTATGTAAGTCCTATATAAGATCGAAATTTATGAAATGCAGTGTATTCTATATTTTTTTCAATTGAATATTTAAACAATTATGCTCATATTCATGACTATTTGAAATTTCAAAAAAGAAAACATAGTGGGAATTCATAAATAAAAGATAAAAGACAAGTGTTCAAGTTTGAGCGGAAAAGAGATACAAAAATAAAAAAAAATCTCCTGTATCTTTTATGTCTGGTGAACGGTCGGAAGTAAACCAAGATTCTTGAGAAAGGAAGACTGGCCGCAGAGAGATAGTTGAATGCCTCCAGAAAAAAGGAAGGAAATATGCAAAATGAAAAAAAATTAACGCTATCATTATTTTCTATGAACTATTTTTTTCACATAAAGTGAATGGGATCGGGCAACAGTCAAAGCCTATTTTAGCCCTCTATGAAATATGAAGCAGTCATGGGCATCGGTCTTACAATAAACCTTTAATAAACGATTTCTCTTTTGATTTATTACTACCTTATGTAAATCAACATTTAGATCTACATCATATTGTCACCAAACTTTACTCTGTCCCTCTGAAACTTTTAAATAGTCTTCTTGAAAAGGTCACGGAACGCCCATTTTTTGATTCCTTGACACCAGAATAAAGGCTAGGATCTGTGATTATGGAAATTGCAAATCAGAGACTTTTTAAATCCCCACGTTTTATTGACGAAAATGCAGCTAATACAGTCCGTCTTTTCTTTAAACTTCAATATGCCAATAAAGGAATTAATTTATATAAGGTATATTTTTAGTCACAAAAGGGTCCAGCCTTGTATACAACCATATTTCAAGTTAAAGACTACACTTTGTATTTCTTACAAGTATACGCCGACTATTGGTTTCAAACTTTTTAATCACAAAAAACTTTACATAACCTGAATATCGAGTACATCTGAAACATAATCCTCCATCGTGTTCATGCTCTTCTTCACCCTATATAACCATAGTCCTGCTGGACACGTTGTTACAGGTGATGTAAATATATAGTAAATAATGAGGACATTAAAGCACTTATTTTAAAAGGTCCTAAATATAGGGAACGCTGATTCTTCAACTGGCGTCGGAATTTCATAAATATTATGAATTCTGTTGAGGATTACGTCAGGCGATGGGCCAAGTATGAAAAATAAAACATTGACACTTTGTCAGAATGGATTAAATGTGTCAGGTCCATGTCAAAATCGCGTATTAAAAGATTCAGGGGCAGTATGAAACCATCTATCTTTCTGTATTCAAAATCCAGATGTGATAATAAGTAGCTAGATTACATGATCAGTAGTTACTGGTCCGTGCTGACAAAGCAAGTAACAACATTGTCTGTCTTTGTTTGTAAGGCTCATTATTATATAAATTGTGTTTTAGAATAACTTGGATTTAATTCTACAAGTGGTAATCCAGCTTATACTCATAGTTCCCTTTCTTTCTCAGGAGGAAATTCTACAAAATCATGTCACTTTTGAATATTTTTAATATCCCAAAGAACCAAAATGAATTTGAACTACTACATATATATTGGATTCCGAAACTTCATATGAATCCTTAGAAACAACAAGAGGCCCATGGGCCTTATAGGTCACCTGAGCATCATGCAACAACTTTACAATGATTGACATTGGTTCATGTTTTAAACTAGACACCATGGCATTCACAATTTTGAAAAAGACATCATAACTATACACTTAGCATGTTTAGTTTGGTTACTTAATACCCACAGACAGAGTAGGGGAACAAAAAATGCATTTCGACTAATCAGTAATATTCAGCAATAATCAATATAGTGCCACTACCATACATGAACCCCTGACCCTTGGTCCACACATTTCACAATTTTGGAAAAGGCACCCTTGCTTATCAAAAATATTTGATTAATTCAAAGTTGAAGGTTTCAATCAATTAATTCATTTTCAGTATATAAGTAGAACCCCCCCCCACCACCACCACCCTCTATGGTACCCCTGACCCAGGGGTGTGGAAATTCACAATTCAGGAAGAATGGCCCTTGCTCATCATAGCTATATAGGTAGCTCAACTGCTTAATCCCCAGGAGCAGAGAAGAAGATTTTCAAACAATTTTTGCATTTTCTCTATATAACCAATAGAGCCCCGCCCTAACAAATGAACCCCTGACCCTGGGGCCATAAAATTCACAAAGGCATTCTTCCTCATCATGACTATGTACTTATTGAGTTTATTTAATACTCAGTAGCAGAGAAGATTTTAAAAGAATTAATGTATTTTCTCTATATAATCAATAGAGCCCCACCCCAGCTGCCCCACCCTAACACCAGAACCCCTGACCCTGGGGCCATAAAAAATCACAATTTTGGAAGAGGCATTCTTCCTCATCATAACTATATCTTTTGTTAATTTATTTAATACTCAGGAGTAGAGAAGGAGATTTTCAAAGAATTAATGAACTTTCTCTATATAATCAATAGAGCCCCACCCTAACACCAGAGCCCCTGACCCTGGGGCCAAGAAATTCACAATTTTGGAAGAGGCATTCTTGTTCATCATAACTATATACTTAGTAAGTTTGCTGAATACCCAGAAACAGAGAAGAAGATTTTCAAACAAATTCTGCATTTTCTTTATATAATCAATAGAGCCCCCCCCCCCCCTTACACTAGAACCCCTGACCCTGGGGCCATGAAATTCACAATTTTGGAAGAGGCATTCTTGCTCATCATAACTATGGGCTTATTTATTGTATTTAATAGCCAGGAGCAGAGAAGAAGATTTTTCAAAGTATTAATGCATTTTCACTATATAATCAATAGAGCCCCACCCTAACACTAGAACCCCTGACCCTGAGGCCATATAATTCACAATTTTGGAAGAGGCATTCTTCCTCACCATAACTATATACTTAGTTAATTCGTTGAATACCAAGCAGCAGAAAAGAAAATTTTCAAACAATTTCTGTATTTTCTCTATATAATCAATAGAGCCCCACCCTAACACCATAACCCCTGACCCTGGGGCCATAAAATTCACAATTTAGGAAGAGGCATTCTTGCTCATCATAACTATATACTTAGTTAATTCTTTGAATACCCAGAAGCAGAGAAGAAGATTTTCAAACAAATTCTGCATTTTCTCTATATAATCAATAGACCCCCCCTCCCCCCTAACACTAGAACCCCTGACCCTGGGGCCATGAGATTCACAATTTTGCAAAAGGCATTCTTTCTCATCATAATTATATCTTTAATTAGTTTATTTAATACCCAGGAGCAGAGAGGAAGATTTTTAAAGAAATATTGCATTTTCACTATATGATCAATAGAGCCCCGCCCTAGCACTACAACCCCTGACCCTGGGGCCATGAATTTCACAATTTTGGTAGAGGACTCAATGGTCATTACATTCATGCTAACAGTTTGACTGCTTGATGTCCAGGAGTAAAGAAGAAGATTTTTAAAGATTGCACTAATTTTAGTGGTTTTGGCCCCACCCCACAGGCTCCAGGGGGGCAGGGACCATGAAATTCAAAATTTTTGTTCCCCTTCACCCATAGATGCTTTGTGTAAAATTTGGTGGAAATTGGTTGAGTGGTTGCAGAGAAGAAGCTGAAAATGTTCAAATGTTAACACACGACACACGACGAACGACGCACGACGACGGACGAAAACCGATAGCAATAGGTTTACTCAGGTGACATAAAAATATACAGAGCGGTTTCCAGTAAATGTTCAACCAAGCCCCTTTCTTTACTCCTCACTAAGATATTGACATTTATGAAGGAGAAACTTCAAGAGTACTTTGCAACAGTATATTCAAGTAGTGGTGTAAATCACATATGGATACTTAAAAATTCCAAGGAACTTTTGGACAATTTGAAATCACAAGATATTTCCAAAATCGACAGCTTAAAAACTTACGACTATCAACGTTATACACAAGTCTAGGCTTTTTGATATCATTGACAGCTGCTTTTCAATAAAAATGAAACTCGTAAATTTACTTAACTTGCCATTGGTCATTTGCAAAATTATCTATTAAAAACCATTCTAATTGTACACACAAGTACTCTGAAGTTGACATCAAAATGATGCTTGAGCTTCTGATTGACAATGTCTATCTTGTTTTTGGAGACCAGGACTTCCAACAATCTATAGGCAGGGGCGTAGTATCCGGGGGGGGGGGCCTGGCCCCCCACTTTTTTTCCCAACCTAACTTACACTATAGGAAATGTTAATTGAAAGCCTGGTTGCCCCCCCCCCCCCCCCCACTGTTAGAAATGTACCGAAAATGTAGTATAAGAATTGGTACTAAAAGTAGTTGACACTGAGAAAAAGTTTACCTACCCCCCTAATTTAAAGCCTGGTTGCCCCCCCCCCCCCCCCACTGTTAGAAGTGTACCGGAAATGTAGTATAAGAATTGGTACTAAAAGTAGTTGACAGAGAAAAAGTTTACCTATATCCCCCCCACCCACCCCACGAAATAGGATTTTCGTCTTTGGGCAACCTTTTCCTCTTTTTTTTTGGCTTGTCAACTTTTTCAGGTAAATAAAAAAAAAATTTTCTCTGCCTGGCCCCCCACTTTCAAAACCGATGCTACGCCACTGATAGGTACCAATTGCGCCCCGTTATTGGCAGACCGTTTTTGTATTCATATGAAACAGAATTTGTGCAAAATCGTATGCATGAAAAGAAAACACTTGCTGTGGCCTTCAACTCGATATTTCGATATATCGAAGACGTATTTGTTAATCAACAATCATATGATATAACTTCCGTTCTTATGTCGATACTGTACAGATTGTATATATCCTGGTGAGCTTGAGATCAAAGATACTACAGAGTCTGAAACGCCTGTTTCATATTTTGATATTTTACTCGAAAAAGACGTTAGTGGTACATGTAATCTAACATCCAAGCTCTATGATAACGTGATGACTTTTAACTTTTCTTCCCTTATTTATGCAGCAATATACTAGAACCTTCATAACCCGCATACAGAGTTTATATATGTCAGTTGATTCGATACGCAAGAACATGCTCTACGTACGAACAATTTCTAAAACGAGGTAAGTCATTGACAAACCAGTAAATGAAACAAGAATATCAGCAGTCTTGTTTAAAGTCATCATTTCTTAAGTTCTATATGGTCGATACAATGACCTTGTCAGCAAATACAATTTATCATTGGGGCAAATGCGGTCAGACGTTTTTTATACTAATTGATAGTTCATTATTTATACACTGCATTAATTGACGATCATGACAAGAAGCACATGGTGGTTGTGACCGCGGTCGGCAGGGGATGCTCACTTCTCCATGGCACCAGTTCCAACATCTGATGTTTTGGAGGTCCGTGTTTGCTCTGCTCCTACTTTGTATTTTTATGGGCGTTTGATCTTGAATACTTTCATTTTCTTCATATGTTTCATGTGTAGTTGTTTTTATAATATGGAAATTGATGGAAGGTGAAGTACAGAACTTGTCTTGCATGATCAATAAAATTTTAATGTTTTCCTTTTCCTTTCTTTGCTTCGCCTTAGGTTATACATGTATATGTATTTTTCTGCAGTTGTTGCATTCTGTAAAAAAAGATTTTTGTGTTAAAGATGAAGGATTAAAAGGTCCGAGTTTGGGTTATCGGAATTTTAAGGAAAACGTTAACTTTCCGATGGCAATTAATTAAGCGGATTTGAAATGTCTTCCCATGGTCCATGTATGAACATGAAGATGATTGATTGTTTGTTGTTTCACGTCCCTCTCGAGAATTTTTCACTCCTATGGAGAAGCCACCATTTGCCGGTGGAGAGCTGCAAATTTTTTCCTATGCGCCTCGGCACTCAGTGCCAGCACCTACTGCCTTATATATTCGAATGTTGCTTCTTAACAGAGGTTTGAGTGTAAACTGATGCTCAGTAAGGGGAATACAGAAAAAGTAATGCATTTATAATATATGATATGTAAATTATAAGAAATCTTTCCTTAAAACAAAAGGATAACTTTAATGAATTTTACTTTTAAAAACAAATCGGAAAAACGCATCGGATTGTTTAAAAAAAATATTTTTACATATAAGTCAAAAATGAAGCATTTACAAATATCTCATAGAGGCAAAAGAGTTAAATAAATTATTATTATAGCATGTTATGTATACTACATGTACAATACACGAAAGGAAAAAAAATAAACATAGATCCAATAGAAAAAAGGAGCTGGTGGGATTTATGACCAAGTGTATCTGTTAATAGCTTTCACTTAATCAGTACGAAATGCAATATTGTTCATTCTTAAAAGTTACATTTTGCCTTTGCAAAAATATTCAGTCAATCAATACTTAAATTTGTACTTATTGAAAAAAAACACTCCATAAAGGTAATTTGATTTACATCATTTATAAATCTCTGCGATAGAAGAGCCAATAAAAATCTTCATTATAGATGTGAAAATTGAAAGTTGACAATATTCATAAAAAAGACAATCGATCTCTATGTCATTTTTCTAGAAGTACTAACTAAATTCAAATCATAATCTACATAAACAATTAAAAAAATGAAAAAGTGTGAACATTAAAAAAAGCATTTATTCAGAACTTTTGTTAGAATGGGTAAAATTAACCTAGAATTTAAACTCAATCCTGCTATTCATCAATAAAAGTTTACTCATAAAAAATCAACTCACCATGCACTGTCCTACACAGCCCGAAAATAATGTTTGGAAGACAAAAATTTAACAAGAATTTTTCAAAGTCAAAGGGCTATAACTTGCAGGAAAATTGGCCAATGCAGACGGATCTCAAACTACTTCTTCTCACAAAATATTCTTTAGGTATTCAGAATAGGCCTAACAAACACCAAAAGAGCAAATAACTTATTTGATATTAAGTTTTTTAAAAAGAAATGAAAAATACAAAGATAGCAAAGATATTTAACTCAGAAATCCTATCAACAATTCAAGGGCTAAAAATACTGATTCTTGGAATGATCATTTAGATTTGATCTGTTAGTCACCAATATGAAGAGACATGCAATTAATAATGGTTCTTTATCTAAAAGCATAGCAAACAAAGGATGCCAAACATTTAATTACCTTTAAGGATAAAGTACATATCAAAGATATAGGAAATATCAAAGAATAATCTGAGAATTAACTGTTCAAAATCCAAACATCATTTCTTGTTACTGGTTGAATTAAAAAAAATTGCACACCATGATACTCATGAGTATATTCTAGTTCATACAATACAATATACAGTTTTTCTTCAAAGATGTTCATATATATACAGAGTAAAGACTTAACTTTGTGCCCTTATTTCATTTCTATTATTTCTATTTTTTTAAAGTCCAATTTCTGAGACTGTGATCATTTTTTATACCCCATCCCCTCCAAATAAAAAGCAAAATCATCTTTTAGATTTTATGTCTACATAACATTTTGTCCAACTTCTTAAAAATATGACAAAGTTTTGAGTAATAGTTTACAAACTTGTGTTATCTTCCCAAAGGATCAATGCATGAAGTTATGTAAAGTCTACTATAAATTCCTTGGTAGAATTTCAATCATCTTTTTGTTCAAATAAAAGTTTGTTTTTTTTTTTGAATTCTGTATTCTATGAAATTATTAGTCAATCCAGTATGAGAAGAATTATACATAACATGTTTAATCTACACATAAATCTCATTATCTCAAACTTAATGGAACTGAGAAAAACAGACAAGATGTAAATGTAAAAGTACATTTAGAAAAAACACAAGATTTCATCACACTTCAACATATCCATGGTATTTAATTTATTGATATTTGAGATATTTTAAACGTTCAACTAGGTTAAGGACATAAACAGTATAGTTTGAAATTAATAGGTAATGTACGTTGCATGTGTCCTTAAATACTGCGAAATGTTCAATATTCTAAGCTAAGCTACATGTTCTCTGTCAAATAGTTAACACCTTGATCAAACATGTCCCAATCCACTCTTGCCCCAGCATTCTCGGCATCCATAAAACACCTGGTTAATTCTCCCAAAGTTGCATTTCTTCCATTTCTGTATTTCCATTTGAGAATAATTTTATGAATCTGAGTGATTGCAGAATATGGATTTTCCATTCTTATAACATCAATATCAGACTGTGTAAGGAGCAAAGCTTTCCCAACTATTTCTACATCACTTCCAAAACATTTGTTGAATTTGAGAAGGTTTTGTTCCGTGAGGTAAAGTGATCTCTGAGCATCTGTGAGTTCTGCATAGCGGTTCACTAAAAAGACATACAAAAGATGTGTACAAAAAATCATAAGGAAAGGAGAACATATACCATCAGACCAAGATTCAAACCTGAAATCCAACAAAAACTGGAGTACGTTCTATTTAAAATGTTTCAACATATTTTATAATATTAATAAAGCCACCCATAACACTACTGTTCAGTGATATTTAAAATTTGATTTAAACAGAACCATAAGTCTTGATCTTCTTTACTTTTGTCCCAAATTTCATTCAAATCAGGCTCCTAGTAGGGAATGAGAAGGATTTAAATTTTAGAGGAATTGAGCATTTTTTTTAATAAACTCATCAATATTTGAAAAAAAAGATTCCACAGAACAGCAATGAAAATTACTAGTCTGAAGCTATAATCAAGTAAAATAAGGCTGAAACTCGGAATAGTAAATGTTTGGGGAAAAAATTGACTGCAGACACTTAAAACACAATGTGTAAAAAGGGGAATAATTTTTTGAAGAAATCATCATATTTTGTGATAAATAATTCAAAACAATGATGTACAATGTGCCAACGATACAGACAAAACCAATCTTATTACACTTAACATATTAATATTTTTAAAACACAATAAGATAAAAAGAGCCTTTATATTATGTTATATATCTTAAAGTTTGTTTCATTCAGGATGTATTATAATTATTTGCTATGCAAGCATCATCATTTTAACTCTTTGTGTTAATCTAAGTACTTTTTTGTATGGATAATCCTATAATAATACAAATTAAATAATGTAGATATCCTCTTTTCAGATTAGAACTCTTCATTATACAAATATCATTAGACAAATTACCTTGCACTGGCTGTTGTATTTCTGTAATTGGTGTATTATCAAGTCTATCTGTAATATGATCAGACTGTTTTGCTTTCAAAGCATCAACAAAAACTTTGTATGCCCTGGGACCAGACTTTAATAATAGCCTCAGAAAAACTTCGTTCTTTTTTTCGGGAGTGGGCATTGCATCGATTTCATCAAAGTCATTGAGGTCCCAGATGTCTTCATCCATAAATGCGTCCCTAATTTCATCTTGTTGTAGCTGTGCTTTTAAAAAACTCCAATTCTTCTTGATGCGCTGTTCATCAGAATTACCAAGTGGCTGAATTACTCTGGGCATCTTGAAGCTTCAAATAATAAAAAAGTTTAGGTCATCATTGTAACTGGAATAATGAAAGGTAAAATAAGAAAACACTTTATAAGAATTAATATTTATTGAAAATAAATTCTAGGTTCATAACATTTATACAGTTCACATGGCTAATCACTGCAAGTAAGAAAGCAATGTCCGTAAATGTACCCAACTGGATCAATGAATACTTTTGAATATCTATCTATTTTAGTCTTTTGAATAATATAAGAGATATATTTTATAGATTAACAATAAAATAATAGTATTTATAGTATGATTTGGCATATCAATTGAAATAAATCTTTAGTGCTTGGTAAAATATGGCATTTAAAATTTTATGAAAGAAAAAAAAAACAACAAAACAAACACAAAAATGCCTAAAAACTGAAACGTAAGATTTTATAAGATTTAAAAATTTACCGAAGCTTCACAATGAGTAAAATAATGTTTATTTTATGGAATTACAAAGTTGAGTGATTATCAGTTTTCCACCAGTTTACAATTGATATTGATTCTATATATTTAAAATTTACAATGTAAAACAGAGAAATGATTTATTGACGTCTTCATCATCAAAGAAGATACAAAACTTTTCAAAAGATGTCTACTATAATTTCATCAAGAGATTGTACTGGACCTGGGAACTTAGGATATTTATGAAAATGAACAATTTACATTGTTTCATTCTACGAACTTAAACGACGAAAGTGAGAGGTGCAAGAGACAGCAAGAGACATAATCTCAGCGAGATTCATAGGGATTAAAATTTTAGTCTCGTGTCCACAAGAATCTCAGAGCAATCCAATAATTTGTTCTACTACTATTTCCTATAGGAATGAACTATAATACGAAGTATTTGATGCAGACTATTGCGGACCTCTTCAGTGTTGGAGGTTAAAATGAATAGCAAACAGCCATGAAAAAATAAACAACTTTATAATTTGCTGGATTTAAACCTTTTGAAGGTAAGAAACGAATGTTTTATAGCATAGGTGTTGGTACTGTTGGAACTGGGGGCTAGGGGGAGGGGTTTAGTTGGAAGTCCCTCCTTTTTTTGCAAATATAGACAATTGCTATACATTGAAAATTGGGGTTTACCTTTTTTTGTTGGTTAACCCCCCCCCCCTTTCTATTAGCCCCTTACTTTCAATTTGCTTCCGATGCCCATGTATAGTGATAGAGACTTAAAAGGATGTCAAAGGGAAAAAGTTAAAGTGGGCAGCATATTCATTTCAGCCTCTATTGATTGAAATAACCAGTCGAAGTTGGGACAAAAAAGCCTGAATCATGTTGTGTAGTAGTTAGAATAATCTAACTGTGTCTCGGGACAAGCCCTCACCACATGTGAAATTGGGTCTGTAGGACATTTATCATTTTAACATAGAACATTCTATCTAGTTGTGTGGGATTGCTCTGATATTCGTGTGGACGCCAGACCAAAATTGTAGTCCCTACGAATCTCGTTAATATTACAAGAGACGTGAAACAGATAAAAACGATGTATTCATAGTTTAATATCAAATTTTACCAATGTTTACCCTTACTATCACATTAAAGCGTTAATACGAGTTATACCACATTCAGAGCTTTTGATCTACTTTCGTTTTGTCCAATAACTTAGTAATTACATTTCTTACAAACTATCGACTTGCTAACAAAAAATATATAATCTGGTAATTTTATAAAGCATATAAAAATGACCAGAATTGTATGATTTACTTGTTAGCAGTGTAGAATCTCGTCAGGTTCTTGTCATTTCACCGTCTTCAGGCTGCGATATTGACAGGAAGTACACACAATCAAAAGAATACAAAACCTGTTTGGTAGATACGCGTAAATCCGTAATACTGTTACTTTCAGCAAAAAAAAAAAAAAAAAAAAAAAAAATCATTCTATAAAATATCATTATTATTCAGTGAATAGGGGTGTTGCTAAAACGCGGAACGGAAAACGGAATACATTTGTTTAGATTAAATCACTTAAAGTACACAAATTTTGTCATGAACAACATATTTTAAACACATTCAATCCCATATTATCAAAAAGGCACCTTTTTTTGACAAACAAGTTGATGAAACAAGAATATCTGCAGTCTACATCATCTCGTAAGTTCTATGGTCGATACAATGACGGGTGAAACACAATAAAGGGGACAGTAAGGTTGCACTTGAGGATAAAAAATTAATGTCTTTATTTTGGCCCAAAATTTTTTTTTCTAAAAAGTAGATTATCTCAAGGATCTGAAACATAAAAGGTTTTGTGAAATTCACATTAGAACTTTGTTTTTTACAAGCTGATAATAGCCTCATTTACACAGGTTACGGACACTACAAATGTTGTTGTTTTTGAAATAAATATTGAAAACTGCTTATAAACTTTAATTTTTTGAACTGCTCACAAACAAACAACATATAAAAATACAAAATATGGACAAAAGTTGTACTAAAAAAGGTTGCATTATACTTCAAAATGAAAACAGTTCTTACTTCGTTCATTTTTGTTGAAAATGGTAGTATTTCAATTTATGTGAACTCTTTAAAACCAATATAAACTAGGGCTAATTGTAACGGGAACCGTTACAGATGTTCCCCAAACGCTCCCCAACTCCCTTTTGTGCCATATTCCGTGTAAGCTTCATTAAATAAGACAAACGCGATACATTTAAGATTTTAACAAAGTTTTCCCAGAGGTAATCAATTTCAGCATTGCACGCATGCGCATTTGAATGCATGTGCGTAATGACCATATCATCTTGTCTACACTAATCATATATTTTAATATACTAAATATTACAGCATTTAATCAAAAAATATGTTTAATCTTGTGTATTTGTAATTTTACTCATTTCACGTGCACGCACGTGCATGCATGTGCATTATGACCATACCCTTTTGTAGGAGTCTATAATGTCTATCTAAGTTCTGAATCCCATGCTGTTTGGTTGAAAACCAAGGGAGTTATAGCCATTTAAAGTTTAAGCCAATCAGATTGCAGCACACGTGCATGCGCGTGATTTGATGAAAATTATTATATATCATATTGTAGGATATCCTAAAGCATGTCTATATTTTAAATTTCAAAGCATTTCGTCAAAAAACAAAAAAGATATTGAGAATTTTGTTTCAGCCAATCAGAGCGAAGCGCACATTCATGCACGTGCAAGCATGCTCATGATGACCATACCTTCTTGTAGGAGTCCATTACGTCTGTCTATGTTCTAAATCCCATGCTGTTTGATTGAAAAACAAGGGAGTTATAGCCATTTAAAGTTTTAGCCAATCAGATTGCAGCGCACGTGCATGCGCGTAATTTCATGACAATTTCTATATATCATATTGTAGAACATCTTAAAGTATGCCTATGTTTTAAATTTCATAGTATTTCGTCAAAAAACAGAAAAGATATTGAGATTTTTGTTTCAGCCAATCAGAGCGAAGCACACGTGCATGCGCGTGAGTTCGTGCTAATTTGACAGTGTCACATTATCTACACTATTAATATATCTTTAAATAATAAGTTTCAAATCATTTCATTTAAATATGTAAAAGTTATAGCTATATTAAGTATACAAGTCATTTCACGTGTTGCACGCGCACGCACGTGCATGCGTATGCGCGCAAAATGACCTTCGTTCCGCACACCTACACTACACACCCATTAACCCTAAAAAGGTTTTAGGTCAGTTGGGTGAACAGTTTCTGAGAACACTCGCGGACAAAAAAGTACCGGAGAACAAATAAGAAAAAAAATAATAATAACTAGAAACGATCTCGTTGCGAGCAACGAGAGGTCTTCCGTCCGATTCTGAAATAAAAAGCGAAAAATCTAGCTCAAAAAGTCATAAAAAAATTTCGGTCACACGGGGGATCGAACCCAGGTCGCCCGCGTAAAAATCCAACGCGCTATCCATTACACCATCGGGAACGCCGCTTCAAATTTTTAATTGCGAATATCTCGAGATTGGCTTTATCAATTCAAAAACAAATTACATATTTCTCATTCTATAAAATGTCTCTATTAACACTACAAAAATCAAAGAAAAATAATGAAAAACAAAAAAGTTGAAAATTTTGATTTTTTTAATTCACTTCCGGTAGCGACCGGAAGTACCGACGACACACGAAAAGGACATTCCGCATATCTAGAAGTCATGTCCTATGTTCTCCAACAAGTCTCCAGTTCATATCTTTAGTAGTTCCTTAGATCTCGAACTGACAAAATTTCATTTTAAAATCAGGAAAATCGCCATAACTTGGCACCGGAAGCGACTTGTTCCAAAATTCTTCCAAATGTAACAAGGGCATATTAGAGCACATCATCCCTGAAAGTTTGATGAAAAACCGATGAATAGTTCTCGAGATATCGCGTGCACAAAAATTGTCTAAAAAATAAGAATAATAATAATAATAATAATAATAATAAGAAACAGTAGAATCACTATAAGGTCTTCCGTGAAGACGGAAGACCTTAATAATAATAATAAGAAACAGAGTAAAAACAATATGTTCCCCAACTTCGTTTGGGGAACATAATAATAAGAAACAGAGTAAAAACAATATGTTCCCAAACTTCGTTTGGGGAACATAATAAGGCAGCAAAATTCAAATTCTCATTTCTCTACTAAGATTTTTACATCGGGCTCGGAGTTGGTTTTCTTCAGAAAGACAGGGCTGGGTTCAAGGCGACTAGGGGTACCACACCGGTAATTGACCAATCAAAATGAACTTAGTCAATTGTAGGTCCATACATTAAGCCGATTTTCCTTTCTTTTGAGAGTTTTTTTAATTTCCTTCCAGGCCAGTTTGACAACTCTGGTACCTGTGCCTAGGAAATTTTATCTACTCTATAAATAAATAAAGTTTTTTGACAGGAACTATTTCTCCAGGGCATAGGAGGCTACTTCCTGGGGTGCTTTTGTGATGTTTATAAAGACATGGAAAACACGTGGATTTGAGGGTAGCCCTGTTTGCATATGCAAATAAATCAGAAAATGTCGTGTACGTACCCTGGTTTTTTGGTGTCAGCTAATGTGACAGGTATTGTTTAACACCCCCTTATCAATATTTTTTCATGAATTCAAACACGTGAGGTTTTACTGGAAAGAAACGTGTATTGCTTTTTAATATACCGAAACTCGCTATTTCTGGGGATTGTGTAATTCTAAAAAAAATTCAGATAAATTTCAATGGTGAAATAAAAAAAGAATGCTTGGTATTAAAATATTAATTCATATCAGTAGAATTGAATGCTATTAACGACATCTGGAGAAATAGGCTTTAAAAGGTTTATATCATATCTTTGTTCGTCTGCACTTAAATTTCAAACACGACAGAATTTGTAATTTTTGCCGTAAAAATTCATAATTTCTATATACTTTAGAGACTTACCGTAAAACTTTCAGGAAACTTTCTATGAAGTCTTTTCTGCACCTTAAGTGAAATTTTATGTCGATCCCAGGTGTTGATCGAGTTTCAGAGAAATTTTCTACGTTGTTATTGATTTTTTTTTTTTAAGGAGAAGGGGGGGGGGGTTGACTTTTTTATTCTAAGCATTTGTTAAAGTGAGTTTGTAAATACATCTACGAACTTGAGCTGAATTGTGACCTTTGGGTCAAGGGGTCAAAGGGCAAGGTCATTAAAGCATTTCATAAAGAAATATAAAAGTAACGGCCATATCAAGTATACAAGTCATTTGATCATTGCACGCGCGCGAAGGTGCAATGCATGAAAGCTATATCATCGTGACTACACTTTTAATGTGTTTCTATTCTTTGAATTTTGAAACGTTTCATAAAAAAAATTACGACTATATCAAGTAAATCGGTCATTTAACGCATTGCGCGCGCACACGTGCATGCAAGTCCTTGCATTCAAGTTTGATAGTAGCATAATGTAAGAATCCGTCATATCTATTCATATTCTAAATTTCATCCTGTTTTGTTGAGAATCAAAAAAGTTATAGGCATTTAAAGTTTAAGCCAATCAGATCGCAGCACACGTGCATGGGCGTGGTTTCTTGAAAACTTTTATATATCGTAGCTTAGGACGTATTAAGGTATGATTATGTTTTAAAATTCAAAGTATTTTGTCAAAAAACAAGTAAGATATTGAGATTTTTGTTTCAGCTAATCAGAGCAAAGCGCACGTGCATGCACGTGCATGCATGTGCATGATGACCGTAACTTCTTATAGGAGTCTATTGTGTCTGTCTATGTTCTAAATCTTATCGTGGTTGGTTGAAAAACAAGGGAGTTACAGCCATTTGAAGTTTAAGCCAATCAGATTGCAGCGCACGTGCATGCGCATGCTTTTATGACAAATGTTATACATCATGTTGTAGGACATCTTAAAGTATGCTTATATTTTAAATTTCATACCATTTCGTCAAAAAACGGAAAAGATATTGAGATTTTTGTTTCAGCCAATCAGAGCGAAGCGCACGTAAATGCGCGTGAGTTCTTGCTAATTTGACAGTGTCACATTATCTACACTATCAATATATCCTTATATAATGAGTTTCAAAGCATTTCATCGGAAAATGTTAAAGTTATGGCTATATTAAATATATTAGTCATTTCAGTCATTTCACGCGCCCGCACGTGCAGGCGTATGCGCGCAAAATGACCTTCGTTCCGCACACCTACACAACACACCTATTAACCCTAAAAAGGTTTTAGCTCAGTTGGGTGAACAGTTTCTGAGAACACTCGCGGACAAAAAAGTACCGGAGAAGAAATAAGAAAAAAAGAATAATAATAATAATAATAATAATAACTAGGGCTAATTGTAACGG